CATCATAAATTAACCGAAACTCAGCGTATGCCTCACAGACATGAGAAATATATCTATAGAAAGCTTGAAATGTCTTTAAACGAAACAATTCAAAATGAAAAGAAATAGGCTACTCTCTGATTATGTGATCCATTATGTGCATTTCTCTCTATAGGCGTTCACTACGGAGATGGCGATCGTCCACCTCATCTCTGCAGCCGACACTGACACAGAAAACACTCGTTTATTAATAAAAATCAATGCACGCGTGTCACCGCATGCACACATATTATGTCGAAATAACGAGATATTATGTTGAAATAAAATAATTGAATATTAAATATTGATTGGCCAAGTTTTGATAATTTATTAATATTTTATATTAGTATTTATATATAATATATATATATATATATTATATAATTGCGCAGCTCCCCCTGTCAATGATCTAGCCCCCCCTCAGCACCTGCATAAAAAATTCTCTGCCGCCGCCCCTGGAGAGAGAGAGAGAGAGAGAGAGAGAGAGAGAGAGAGAGAGTTCTAGCACTCAAAGTGTATAGTTGTCTCTGTTAACAGTGAGTTCAGGCCTGACTCAATTACTGATGTCAGTGGATATGGATCCCATCAAATTACACTGAGATTGAACATGCCATGCCAAGATCATTACGCTGAAACAGGCGGTCCGAGGTAAAGCGGCCCGTCAGCAGGACGGAGGAGAATCCTTCGGCAAATGTTTGGCCATTTTGAGGCTCAACAGCAAAATCAATAGAGACAAACACCCTTATTCTGCGAGCGTAATGACTCTAATTAAAAACATATTTACTCGCCCTGCCTTCAGTTTACACCTCAACCCTCTGGAACCGGCCCTGGATCGGAACATCAGGATATTTGCTCCTGAACTCCCGCAGTTTTACTCCCGCTGAGAACAGGATCTCGTGTAAACTCGCCCTCGGCGTCTCGTCGGGAGGAAAAAACGCCTTTCATCAATTTTTCTCTCTTATCTTTGCTTTTCTTTCATTCTTTTTTTCTTTTCTGCACAAGATAAGCTTGGAAAATATTTGTGCTGTTTCCCGTCACCGGGTCATTAAAGCGCGCCGTTTGTTTGAGAACAGAGAGAAAAAATTAATATTTCATCAGCCAGCATGTATTGGTGCCACAAACCGTGTAATGGTGCTTATCAGAGCGATCAAATCAATTATTCTGTGTTCAGCCGACAAAAGGGGCGATCGAGAAGCAAACAGAAGCATTTGACTTTCATGTGTTCGAGGGCTCGTGTAACATTGAAGTGTGTGCGCTCCCCGATCTTCACCTTCAGAGTCAAAACATCCTCCACCAATAGCGTGAGTTTGGGGGCGGGGCTATCCCTTTGACTGACAGCTGGTGGGAGTGCAGTGGTGCGTAAAACAATTTCGACTTTTCGAATAATTATGGCTGTTTGTGTAATAATTTTGACTTTTTTTCATGATTTTGACTTTTTATCTCAATTATTATTTAGTATGTCATAATATGGACTTGTTTCTCGTAATTATGGCTCTTATCTTATAATTATGACTTAGTATAACAATTGTGATTTTTTTATCTCATACTTTCCGTCATAATTTCATAATTTTGTTATGTCTATATATTCCAGACTTTTTATCTCATAATTATAACTTTTTATTGGAAAATATTGACATTTATTACATAATTTCAATTTAGTAGGCCATAATTTTGAGTTTTGTCTCATAATTATGACTTGGTATATCATAATTTAGATTTTTTGGATCTCATAATTTTGACTTTTTGTCTATAATTATGACTTTTTATGCCAAAATATTGATTTATTACATAATATTGATTTTGAAGGCCATAATTTTTTTCCTCATAATCGTGACTATTTATCTCATAATTATGAAATATATCTTCAGCTCCCTGCTGGAAAAAACAGATGGTTTTTGGAACATGTCATCTGTATATCAGCTAAAAACCAATCATTTGTTTCCCACGTTCAAATACGTTCTTGTATTTTTGTGTTCAGAGTCACTATAAGTGAGACGCCGGTAGTTTGAATCAACACCTCAACCAATGACATGAGTTTGGGGGCGGGGCTATCGGTTTGACTGACAGCTGGTGGGAGTGCAGTGGTAAATGACACACTTCGGCTTTAAAGGAATTAAACATTGATGTTAATCAGATCACAGGTAATATAGTTCAGGGTAAGTGAAGCTCTTACCGTTTCTTCATGACCAGCACCACACCGAGGAAGATGATGACGAAGAGCAGGACTCCAGCGATGACTCCTGCAATCTTCACCGTGTGATCCGTGTGTTTCTCCGGCTCCACGGCGTCAGGCTTACGGGTCGCAGCACCTGCAACACCAAACCAGTCACTGCAACACCAAACCAGTCACCGCAACACCAAACCAGTCACTGCAACACCAAACCAGTCACTGCAACACCAAACCAGTCACCGCAACACCAAACCAGTCACTGCAACACCAAACCAGTCACTGCAACACCAAACCAGTCACTGCAACACCAAACCAGTCACCGCAACACCAAACCAGTCACTGCAACACCAAACCAGTCACTACAACACCAAACCAGTCACTGCAACACCAAACCAGTCACTGCAACACCAAACCAGTCACTGCAACACCAAACCAGTCACTACAACACCAAACCAGTCACTGCAACACCAAACCAGTCACTGCAACACCAAACCAGTCACTGCAACACCAAACCAGTCACTGCAACACCAAACCAGTCACTGCAACACCAAACCAGTCACCGCAACACCAAACCAGTCATTGCAACACCAAACCAGTCACTGCAACACCAAACCAGTCACTGCAACACCAAACCAGTCACTACAACACCAAACCAGTCACTGCAACACCAAACCAGTCACTGCAACACCAAACCAGTCATTGCAACACCAAACCAGTCACCGCAACACCAAACCAGTCACTGCAACACCAAACCAGTCACCGCAACACCAAACCAGTCACTGCAACACCAAACCAGTCACTGCAACACCAAACCAGTCACTGCAACACCAAACCAGTCACTACAACACCAAACCAGTCACCGCAACACCAAACCAGTCACTGCAACACTGCAACACCAAACCAGTCACTACAACACCAAACCAGTCACCAAACCAGTCACCGCAACACCAAACAAGTCACTCCAACACCAAACCAGTCACTGCAACACCAAACCAGTCACTGCAACACCAAACCAGTCACCGCAACACCAAACCAGTCACTGCAACACCAAACCAGTCACTCCAACACCAAACCAGTCACTGCAACACCAAACCAGTCACTTCAATACGCTTTTTCTACGTCATTGCGCTATTTCTATGTCATTGCGCTATTTCAATGGCATTGCGCTATTTCTACGTAATTGCCCTATTTCTACGTCATTGCGCTATTTCTACGTCATTGCGCTATTTCAATGGCATTGCGCTATTTCTACGTAATTGCCCTATTTCTACGTCATTGCGCTATTTCTACATCATTACGCTATTTCTACGTAATTGCCCTATTTCTACGTCATTGCACTATTTCTACATCATTACGCTATTTCAACGTCATTACGCTATTTCTACATCATTACGCTATTTCAACGTCATTACGCTATTTCTACATCTTACGCTATTTCTACATCATTACGCTATTTCTACATCATTGCGCTATTTCTACGTCATTACGCTATTTCTACATCATTACGCTATTTCTACGTCATTACGCTATTTCTACATCATTACGCTATTCCAACATCAATATGCTATTTCTACATCATTACGGTATTTCAACGTCATTACGCTATTTCAACATCATTACGCTATTTCAACGTCATTACGCTATTTCTACATCATTTCGCTATTTCAACGTCATTACGCTATTTCTACGTCATTACGCTATTTCTACATCATTTCGCTATTTCAACGTCATTACGCTATTTCTACGTCATTACGCTATTTCTACATCATTTCGCTATTTCAACATCATTACGCTATTTCAACGTCATTACGCTATTTCTACATCATTTCGCTATTTCAACGTCATTACGCTATTTCTACGTCATTACGCTATTTCTACATCATTACACTATTTCTACGTCATTACACTATTTCAACGTCATTACGCTATTTCTACGTCATTACGCTATTTCAACGTCATTACGCTATTTCTACATCATTACGCTATTTCTACATCATTACGCTATTTCTACGTCATTACGCTATTTCTACATCATTACGCCATTTCAACATCATTACGCCATTTCTATATCATTACGCAATTTCTATGTCATTACGCTATTTCTACATCATTACGCTATTTCAACGTCATTACGCTATTTCTACATCATTACGCTATTTCAACGTCATTACGCTATTTCTACATCTTACGCTATTTCTACATCATTACGCTATTTCTACATCATTGCGCTATTTCTACGTCATTACGCTATTTCTACATCATTACGCTATTTCTACGTCATTACGCTATTTCTACATCATTACGCTATTCCAACATCAATATGCTATTTCTACATCATTACGGTATTTCAACGTCATTACGCTATTTCAACATCATTACGCTATTTCAACGTCATTACGCTATTTCTACATCTTACGCTATTTCTACATCATTACGCTATTTCTACATCATTGCGCTATTTCTACGTCATTACGCTATTTCAACGTCATTACGCTATTTCTACATCATTACGCTATTTCAACATCATTACGCCATTTCTATATCATTACGCAATTTCAATGTCATTACGCTATTTCTACATCATTACGCTATTTCAACATCATTACGCCATTTCTATATCATTACGCAATTTCAATGTCATTACGCTATTTCTACATCATTACGCTATTCCAACATCAATATGCTATTTCTACATCATTACGGTATTTCAACGTCATTACGCTATTTCAACATCATTACGCTATTTCAACGTCATTACGCTATTTCTACATCTTACGCTATTTCTACATCATTACGCTATTTCTACATCATTGCGCTATTTCTACGTCATTACGCTATTTCTACGTCATTACGCTATTTCTACATCATTACGCTATTTCAACATCATTACGCCATTTCTATATCATTACGCAATTTCAATGTCATTACGCTATTTCTACATCATTACGCTATTTCAACGTCATTACGCTATTTCTACATCATTACGCAATTTCAATGTCATTACGCTATTTCTACGTCATTACGCTATTTCAACGTCATTACGCTATTTCTACATCATTACGCTATTTCAACGTCATTACGCTATTTCTACATCATTATGCTATTTCAACGTCATTGCGCTATTTCTACATCATTACGCTATTTCAACGTCATTGCGCTATTTCTACGTCATTACGCTATTTCAACGTCATTGCGCTTTTTCAACGCCATTACATCATTACACTATTTATACTCCATTACGCTATTTCTACATCATTACGCTATTTCTGCATCATTGCGCTTTTTGAATGCCATTACATCATTACACTATTTATACTCCATTACGCTATTTCTACATCATTACGCTATTTCTACATCATTACGCTATTTCTACATCATTACGCTATTTCTACGTCATTGCGGTTTTTCAACGTCATTACACTATTTCAACGTCATTACGCTATTTCTACATCATTACGCTATTTCTACGTCATTGCACTTTTTCAACGTCATTACGCTATTTCTACGTCATTACGCTATTTCTACATCATTACGCTATTCCAACATCAATATGCTATTTCTACATCATTACGCTATTTCAACGTCATTACGCTATTTCAACATCATTACGCTATTTCAACGTCATTACGCTATTTCTACATCATTACGCTATTTCAACGTCATTACGCTATTTCTACGTCATTACGCTATTTCTACATCATTACACTATTTCTACGTCATTACACTATTTCAACGTCATTACGCTATTTCAACGTCATTGCGCTTTTTCAACGCCATTACATCATTACACTATTTATACTCCATTACGCTATTTCTACATCATTACGCTATTTCTGCATCATTGCGCTTTTTGAATGCCATTACATCATTACACTATTTATACTCCATTACGCTATTTCTACATCATTACGCTATTTCTACATCATTACGCTATTTCTACATCATTACGCTATTTCTACGTCATTGCGGTTTTTCAACATCATTACACTATTTCAACGTCATTACGCTATTTCTACATCATTACGCTATTTCTACGTCATTGCGCTTTTTCAACGTCATTACGCTATTTCTACATCATTACGCTATTTCTACGTCATTGCGCTTTTTCAACGCCATTACATCATTACGCTATTTCTACATCATTATGCTATTTCTACATCATTACGCTATTTCTACGTCATTGCGCTTTTTCAACGTCATTACGCTATTTCTACATCATTACGCTAATCTACATCATTACGCTATTTCTACATCATTACACTATTTCTACATCATTACGCTAATCTACATCATTACGCTATTTCTACATCATTACGCTATTTCTACATCATTATGCTATTTCTACGTCATTACGCTATTTCTACATCATTACGCTATTTCTACGTCATTGCGCTTTTTCAACGTCATTACGCTATTTCTACATCATTACGCTATTTCTACGTCATTGCGCTTTTTCAACGCCATTACATCATTACGCTATTTCTACATCATTATGCTATTTCTACATCATTACGCTATTTCTACGTCATTGCGCTTTTTCAACGTCATTACGCTATTTCTACATCATTACGCTAATCTACATCATTACGCTATTTCTACATCATTACACTATTTCTACATCATTACGCTAATCTACATCATTACGCTATTTCTACATCATTACGCTATTTCTACATCATTATGCTATTTCTACGTCATTACGCTATTTCTACATCATTACGCTATTTCTACGTCATTGCGCTTTTTCAACGTCATTACGCTATTTCTACATCATTACGCTAATCTACATCATTACGCTATTTCTACATCATTACACTATTTCTACATCATTACGCTAATCTACGTCATTACGCTATTTCTACATCTTACGCTATTTCTACATCATTACGCTATTTCTACATCATTGCGCTATTTCTACGTCATTACGCTATTTCTACATCATTACGCTATTTCTACGTCATTACGCTATTTCTACATCATTACGCTATTCCAACATCAATATGCTATTTCTACATCATTACGGTATTTCAACGTCATTACGCTATTTCAACATCATTACGCTATTTCAACGTCATTACGCTATTTCTACATCTTACGCTATTTCTACATCATTACGCTATTTCTACATCATTGCGCTAT